CACTCTGCAGGGATCAGGGTCAAACAAGGATTTCACTGAGAAACTGACGCTCAGAGAATAAGACCTAAAAGACTGCGAAAAAGAAGAGAGGAGTAAGCGCCAAGGCATAGTGTGAGGAAGAATTTCAAGTATTACTGTGTGGTTTCAATCACACAGTAAACAAGAAGGGAAGATAATGGTAGGTTTTTAAGACCTTTAAATGCCACCCTCTTGGGCGAGGTTCTGAAGACCAGGAGGAATTCCGAAAGATTTTAAACCAGAAAATTGATCATGGCTTTGAAAAACACTGAAACGATGGCGTGGACACTGGACTATGAAAAGAAGCACGATGTCAGAGTCACTCCTTTCTAACACGGAGCAGTGGCCCCAATCAGGTACATAAACATCGAAGACCATGACAAACCCTTCACCAACTGTCTGCACCCCTGACATTCACATACCGCAACCTACACTGCTTCCTCTCCTGGCCACACAACCCTTTCAAACTTCTTGAAACGGACCCTAAAAGCCACAGCCCAAGAGTCCGTTGAGGAATGTCAATGCACTGCTCCCATGATTCGCACGCTTGCGTCGCCTCTGGCTGTCACGTTCCTTTCCCCCGCCTACGTCGTGTGTCTGCACAAGCTGGTCTTTTCCAGCTTGTGAATTCTGGGAGGGCTTTGCGTCCTCGCGCGGCAACACTCCACAGACGTCCAACAGCTCCCCGCTTCACCACGTCAGGCCCTGCAGGCCCAGCCTCGCCTCCCCCGGCGCACACGTACCCCCTCGGTCTTCATATCCAGGATCTTTTCCACCTCAAACACATCTTCTCCGTCCTCCTCGCTGTCTCCAACTGCCTCGGCTCCTTTCGTGGCGGCATCCTTCTTTTCGCCCACTGCTCCAACACCTTCTCCTTCGATTTCAGGAGGTTCACCACTGCTGTCGGCAACTGCAACAGGAACTGCACTCACGCTCTCTCCCTCGGCAGCCGCCGCCGCCACCGCCGCCACCGCCGCCACCACCACCTCCGCCATAATATGAGACCCGCAAACCGCCGAGGAAGAGCGGCTGCGACACACACCCCGACAGTTCCTCGCGCTCCGCACTTGGCCCTAATCCACTCTGGCAGCGTGACGCTGCGAAGGAAACTCCAATAGCGGGCTCACGACCCTGGAGCGACACAAACTGAAACCAATCACTTCGAGGCTGGCGCGCTGGAGCCCCACGAAGCCTACGGGAAGCGGGTGGGCGGGCCGAGGGGCGCCCCGGCGGAAGGGCGGGGCGGACGGGGCCGTGAGAGAGTAGCGGAGGGTTGTTTCTCGTGCTGGCGGTTGGAGGCGTAGGGCTGCTTCTGAGCTCCTAGGGGGTTGGGACGGGAACTTTCGCTGGGGAGGGGAGGGGCTTGCCTGGGTAGGGGGGAGGAGGGAGTGAAGTTGACGGGGTTCCTCAAAGAGGTTGGGCTTCCCCGCTGAGTGGTGAGCCGGCAGAGGAGGCGGGCTCGGCGCTTCCAGAGTTGAGACGAGGCGGCGGGAGAACACCCGAGGCGCGGGAGTTCGACTGGAAGAGAAGCTCAATCTCCCTCTTGAGGGGACCGAACGGTGCGCGAGGTCTCTTCCTTCTTCCAGTTGCGCCTCACGGCCAAGGCGGGGGCCTTTGTAGGAATGCGGCCCACCTCCTGCCAAGACCTGAGCGGGCCAGAATGGAATGCCGGGCCGTTCGTGCAAGTGTAATTTTGATTCGTTTAATGCGTGTGAACGACACAATCAAACCTACCTCATAGTGCTATTATATCTTAGTATATCGTGTTGTTTAAGGTTAGGGGGAAAAAAAATTTAAGTAACAGGCCCAAACCAATTATTTTCTAAGTTCTTCGGATTTTTTTTCCCATTGAAAATGTCAGAGGTTGTGATAAAAGTATTTTTCCACGATTGACAAACCTAGTTATCCAAAGTTGCTAGGATAATCCACTTAATGGTAAAATATTTTTCTCACTTTGAATCTTAAATAAAATCTCTATTGTAGGGAACTTTCAATTTTTTTAAATTTATTCTAAAGTTTGATTTAAGTAATCTCTACACTCAACATGGGGCTCAAACTCACCCTGGAGATCAAGAGTCACAAGCCTTTCTGACTGAGCAAGCCAGGCACCCCAAGGCGCTGTTTCTTTGAATGGTGGACTTAATTTATAAGATTAGCTCTTTAACTCTGAGGTTAACTAAAGAATCATCTATGATCCACCAGATCCATTTGGATGATGGAGGAAAGACAGGTTTCAAAGCATACAGCCATGAAGGAATTTCTGAGACATCTTTGGTGCAAAAAGTCCGTTTTACTAAAGCATGGGCACAGGACCTGTGGGCAGAGAGCTGCGCTGGGGTCATTATATACTTTCAAGTTGGAAGGTGCTTGGGGATAGCGTAGGTTTCTCACAAATTTAGAAGCAAGGTTTCCAGGACCCTGAGGGGGCTAGCTATTGTTGGGAAAAGGTAATTTATTACTCTCTGGTAAAACCCCAGTCATGAGACCCTTCAGATGTATTTTGCAGGAGTAGAGATGAAGTTTCCAAAGGAATTTTTATATGTCAAAGTAGACTTACAGGATACTGGAGGGTTGGGCTAAGATTGCCTTTTGCCCTTAGCAAAGTATCAACATCAAGGCAGTTGAATCCCTAGAGGAATGTCACTCTGCCCCTTTCAGAGACTTGACAATGGACTGTAAGTAATAGGAAATTTAGTAATTTTTCTTCTACCTTTGTTCCCACATCATGGGAGAGGCACATCAGATCTTGAGTGGGCTCATTGATTTATTATTTATTTAGCTTACTAAATGCATCCTATGTACCATGACCGTACTAAGTATTAAAAACACAAAGAGCAATAGAGCATAGTATTAAAATTCAGCTGACTAAATTTGGAGATCTTATTGACTTTTTTCAACAGCTGGGGCAGCATCCCATCTAGCAAATAGGAACTCCAAAGAAATGCAGAAAAGGACAGGTTTTTCATGACAGAACGGGGGTAGGGCAAGGAAGTCATAAACAAAAAAGGATTATTTCAGGCAAATGCACTGTTCTTTGGGGAAGGCTGGAGTCTATTTAAGAGGATTACCTCACTAGTACTAACAGGAAATTCCAGACTACTAGTTAAGATTATATTCCTAGAAGAGCCTGAAACTGCAGTTAGGTTGGGTATCAAGTCTTGCTTTGCAGATGTTGGTGTTGACATAGATAACTCCATTTTGGGCCTGTTGTCTCTTAACAGTCTCTGCCCTCCACAGACTCTTAGTCTATAAAGGAAGACACACAACAATTCTAATAATTAGATATCTTTTTAAAATAAGTTTTTAAAAAATACTATAATCAAATAACATTAGTTGATGGGGAAAGCTCATTTTTTTTTTTTTCAGAAGAATTTTGGTTAACAAGCATAGAAGAAAACATAGAGAACCACAGTATTTCATGAAAATAATTCAGGCAGCAAAACCATTAGATGAAAGATTGATGAGGAACTGGCTGCCAAAGTATCTCTTCAGACTGTTGGTTGGTTGTAGGAGAAACAAAACTTCACATTGGAAAACCCAGTGATCAATGTTAGCATTACTGAAAGTAGAACAACCAAACTATATGCCTCCTGTTGATAAAAATATTGATCGTTAACCTATTCAGGGCCTTAGATAGAATTTCCAGTTTACAATATGGGGAAGAAAAAAATGGAAATAATTGGACAAATCCAGAATGTAGGACATTGTTTCTTTAATAAGTCAATAGCAAAAGAAGAGGGAAGAGAAGACTGTTCTAAATTTATAAAAACTTGGCAAAATATTTTAAATGATGGACTGTATGCTCATTATACTATTTTCTCTACTTTTACGTATTTTTGAAATAAAGTATTTAAGTATATATATGTTCACTGTAAAAATTTTTAACTAATTCAAATATATAAGATAGAAATAAAGTTCCTATTCCTCAAAGGTAACGTTTAGAATATGACATGACAGACTTCTATATCATACAAGTATAAATACCCATTTATATAATTTTTAAATGAGCTCTATTCCACATTGTTCTGCAACTGTAACATATATATATATGCACATATATATGCATATATAACACATGCATGTGTGTGTGTCCATGTTTTTGCAAGAAGAATTACTAGAAGCGGAATTCCTACTAGTGAAACTTATACTTCAAGGAGGATAGTGATTTAAATTTGGATAAATGCTGCAAAACTTTGTTTTACTAGTATATAGTTCCAATAACAACATAAGGAAGTCTGTTTACCTTCACATACTCTGCTACTAGGTATTATCAATTGCTGATCCCCTTACTCTGATAAAACAAGAAAAGAGTTATCTTCTGTGATTATGTTAAACAAGCAGACAAGTTCAAGGGCAAGACATAATTGATTTAGCCAGTAAAAACATAACAAGCTATTTTAGATTTAGTGGGTTACCATTTATATAAACACCAAGAGGAAGAGTAGTCAAAGATGCCGTCTCCTCTTGGTCCTTATCCTGCACACCAAGAGGAGCTAGATAATTGCAATGTGAGTTGTGGGACACATCACTGTTGAGGAGCCAATTCTAGATGCAGCTAGGAAGATTTTTAGTCTGCAGCTGTATTTGGAGTTTATATTGCCTCAGAACTGGGAGGTGATGAGAAATAGAAATAGTCTTAAGTCTGCCTCTCGGGGATAGGCAGATGGGAAAAGGCCTCATGGAAGCTACAAGCTTCCCATCCTTTGAGTATCACAAGATATTTTGCCAAGACTCAATTATAGCTGTGGTTCAAGTCCAGGGAATTAGGAGGGGTCACACATCAGGATAATGGAAGTTACTCAAGATGAAGGCAGGATGGGCAGTAAAAAGGGAAATCCTGAGCCATACGTGAAGGAGAGTGGGTACTGGGCATTTGGCAAATCACAGTAATAAGGACAGGCTGGAGGATAGCTAAAAGACTGTATCTCAGAGAAATCTGTTGTGATGAGCATGGTGTTGGCTAATTGAATTTAAATTAAAAAAAAAAAGTGAAAACAAAAACAAAGAAACCAAGGTTTTTATATAAAGGTAGAGAGGTAATGGGCTAGAAGTGGTAATGTGGAGGAAGGTAGACAGTGACCTTACAGCTTTCATAAAAAATAACTCAAAATGGATCACAGACCAAAATGTAAAGTGCAAAATTTATAAAACTTCTGTAAGATAACATAGGAAGAAACCTAAATGACTTAAGGATTTTAGAGGCAACACCAAAAGCAAGGTCCATGAAAGACTTGCTTGGGATACCTAGTCTCTAAGTGACAAAAAATGTATCAAGGGATCTATAGACTAGGAACCACACCAGGGAGCATGCATAAATGAGGCAAAGTTCTGGATACAGAGGGCCCTGGAAACAGGCTTGCATGCCATGAACACTGACATCTTCCAAAGATCTTGTTTCTCCCCAGCTTACTAAGTCCAGCTGGGCCCAGTTCTCCACTAGAGTCCTTAAAGGGGAGAAGGAAATGAGGCTCTAGGACCAGCCAGATGTGTCTCTTATCACCTCAAAACATTTAAACCCAAATCTGTAATATGCAATATTTTGTTACCACTTGCTAGTTCATTAAAATAATCAATTCTGTTTCTCATTATTATAAGCGAGTGCTAAACTGAATGAAATCATAATTAAACTTCATTATGGGGATCTATTGATATCTTACTATTTTATACATGGAAGCATGAAAAGTGTTTAAAATACAACTTCAGTTGATTCAGCTTGACTGTAATTAAGAACTCTGTGAAGAGGAGGTGTGTTTACGTTTGGATCCCCAGTAGCTGTTTAGTGGCAGAGTCCCAGTCTTGACCCAATTCAAGCCGTTGGCAGATAGATGGATATTGTCCTTCAGTTCTTCTTACCCATTTACTTGCTTTCCTTATTTCTTCAAAAGCCCAGGGAATATTCCTAGATTAGAAATAAATAGTTCCATCAACTTCAGAACACAATTATATATGAAATATAATATGATACCAAATCCAGCACATCATATCAGACAAGATAATTCTGTCAAAAATTGAGCTATGTAGGGTATGTGGGTAGCTCAACCATTAAGCTTCTGCCTTTGGCTCAGGTCATGATCCCGGGGTCCTGGAATCAACCCCCACATCAGGGTCCCTGATCCGCGGGAAGCCTGTTCTCCCTCTCCCACTCCCTCCTGCTTGTGTTCCCTCTCTCACTGTCTCTCTCTCTCTGTCAAATAAATAAATAAAATATTTTTTAAAAATTGAGCTATGTAATAAAAGCAATTCTCTCTGACATTTTATGCGAGTTCTATCAGACTGAATCAACACATTTTAAAATATATTATTATACCCATCAAGTTCCAGCTTCCAAATGCTTCACAGACTTCCTTGTTGCCTCCAGGACAACTCAAGCTTTCTCTAGCCTTTATATATTGGGTTTTTTTTTTTTTTTTTGTCATCCCCTTTCCATTCTTCTTGATCTAAATCCATCCATTCTTCAAGCAGAAACTCAATACTATTTTACAAACCAGGTTTCTATTTTTCTTTCCTTTTTACTGTACCAGGAATTCTTAATTTGATTAGTTAACAAAATACTTAACACTCGCCCGTGAAACTGCCATGTATTCTGTCACACAAATCAGGAACGACAGTACTAAACTGTGCATAACATAAAAACTTGAAGTTTGTGTACATAAAATGACATCAAGCATTCAAGACTGTCAATATTCAAAAGTCTATTCAAGATTCAGAAAAATTCCAAGATTTTTCATTAATATTAGTTAACTACTTCCTCATTTATCTTTCACCTGCTAGAATTTATTAGCAAGCAAGTGGGAACATATACTAAAGTTTAAAAAAAAATTCTATGGGATGGGACTAAAAATTTGGAAAATTCTCTCCATCTTCCTGATTTTTTTCCCTGTAAACTGGAAAAGGGCCATCAGTATAATGAGGTGGCTAAGAGCTAGGTTCAAATCCTGACTCTGAAATTACAAAATGTTGGCTGTGTGATATGGTGCATCTTTCATTCAACACTGGAAGTCTCCATTTCCTCAATTATGATAATATGAGATCCTTAGGGTTTGTTGTCGGGATTAGCAAAACATAGATTTCACAGGCTTAACAGTCCCTGTCACAGAGTAGGTAATCAATAAATGTTAGCTGAATATTATGATGACACAAACATACTAAATAGGGAGCACGTCCAAAGTGGTTAAAGGACCTGTTTCCCAGTAATCATTAGTCCACTTGTAGTTATGAACTACTACAAGCAACAAAACTAGTTTTAAATATTTTCACTAATTCCATTGGTTTTCCTCTAGCTGACCTCTAAACTTTTGACTGACCATCTCACTAGTGTGAAGATTTTGTTCATATACCTTGATGCAATGTGCTACTGTAGTAATGTTATGTGCATCACGAAGCAGAAAAAGACAAAGAAAAGTTATAAATCATATATGCAATAAGCAGGAAATAAAAATTACTTAAAAGTTTGACTTTAATTAAGTCAACTTTATTACTTATAAACCTTTTTGCTCTCACAATAACTCATATAGTAAGAGCAAAGTGATGGAATATACTTATTTTTGAAAATCTTGGTAAAATACTTTGTGATGTTGCAATTAAAAGTAGGTTCAAGTTATTAATACTTGTTTTAATGGCTATCATAGTTGTGATGCCAGACAGGCCAAGAGGGAAGGCTTTATGCCCCTCACCAAGACGGTTCTTGGCTTTTTAGGAGAAAGAATTTAAGAGCAAGCCATGTAGAGAAAGGGACAAAGATTTATTATGTATACAAGTAAGAAAGGAGCTACTTCACAGATAAAGTAGTGGCCTCCCTTCCCAGGGGAGGAAGAGGAGCCCCCCCCCCACCACCTTGTCTCTAACAAAGGGTTTCATAAGGGTTTTTTGTTGTTGTTTTTTTAATTAGCTAACCATATAGGGAGGGGCTAACCTTTTAACTTTGGGTTTAACAGTTACATTGGGCAGTTAGTTTTTCCACTGTCCTATAGAGTTGTGGAATTACCCACAGGAGCAATTTTAGGAATGTCCAGTCTTTACGACTTTTACTGATGGAGGGAGTGGGGCCTTATGGTCTTCCATAAGCTGAATCTTTTCACCTGTTGACTTTTAGGTTAAGGGTGAGCCTAAAAACCAAAATGGCTTTACTTTGGTCAGCTTGTCTCCTAAGCCTCTCTTCCCTCTGTCTCAGTTGAAAAAGATCTAAATAGAAGAAGTGCCTCTTTGGTTGTGTCTGCTAAATCAAATATAAACTTGTCAGTCCTGTCTACTAGTTCTTTGAAGTATTTTTCTTGATACTCAATAAATTCCTATCTTTCTCAAAGAGCTCTTTTGGCAAGCTCATGAGAAGGTACTGCTTTTCTTAAAATATAAGTACAAATTACCTACAGTAAAACGCTCAATTTATTATTTTCTGAGTACCAATTTTGTATTTGATGCTATTGGGAATTGAGAACTTAATCAGTCTTTGTGAGAGGGTAAAAATAGGTCTGCTTATTTATTTTAATTTCATCTGTAAATATATATCTCTAAGGGACAAGAAGAACTTTTTCTTAAACATGACATTAAAATAGCTATAAGAGATTCTTTAATATCACAAAATATCCAGGTAATGTTTAAATCTCCCTAATTCTCTCTCTCATTCTCTTTAATAAAATGGGTTTTGTTCAAGTCAGGATCCAGAGTAGACCTAACATTGCCTTCGGGCCATGTGTCTTTTAATTCATAGCTTCCACCCATCCTCTCGTTTTCCTTTTGCCATTTATTTCCTCACATTCCAGACACTGCTGTTGGTAGTCCATCGCATAATTTAACAATTTCAATCTCTTCTCTCTGGCATCTGTTCTTTATTATGCAAAATATTTATGTAGTTTTAAAGTTAAAAAAGTAAAACAAAGTATATTAGGAAAAACCTTGTCTCCTCTTCCTCCCCTATAAATAATATTTTTATTAGTTTTGCTAGTTTTCCCACTTATCTTGCCTTTTTGAAAAAATCATAAGCTAATTATATAGGTATGTATGTATACGTACATATATGTATATTGTGTGTATATGCACACACATAAGGGGTGACAATTTGCATGAGGTATGGATGGAGTTTTTGTAAGTAAGAAGGGTATTCACATGTGCCTCAAGGCCTCTTGTGTGCCAGAGGTCAGCCCAAGGACTAGGAGCCAGGGACCCAGAACTGCCTCTCTCTACACTGTCACATGATGACATCAAACTTCAAGTGGTCACAGAACTCTAAATTTGAACCTGGTCTTCAAGAAGTTTTATTTGTCCAGGCAGGACTTTAAATGTGTTTAATTTAAGTTTGTTAGTTTGATTTATGACTTTTAAATGCTTAGACATATAGTATGTGTGTTTCCATCTATATTCTTGTGTCAGGCCCTGCAATTTATTGGGAACAGACCTAGTCCTGACAATCACATTGTGGATTTTCCAAAAGCACACAGAATCAATATGCCATAGTGAAAAGAATACTAAACCAGGAGCCAAGATCTGCGTTCTGGTGTAAGCTACACTTAAACACTCTGAGCCCTGGTTTTTCACTGAACCAAGAGGCATAAATATTGTGTCTGCCCTGCCTGTGACATAAGAACATAGGCAAGATATTCCCTGTGAATAAATTCTCTTTGTTCTTACAATTCCATGTTGCTTCTTACGAATTTTAATTAAGAAATGGTCAGAAATGTAAGTGAGCTGCTTAATACTATAATTAAAGCTACCTGGAAATGGAAGCATCATCCAATTTCATTAGTGATTTGAAGACTATGCCTTTTTGTTCCAACTTGGTTTGAAGAAATTGTAGTACCAGAAATGTGGCAATCAGCTCCAGGAGACGCTCTCTTCCTTTTATTCCTAAAAGTGGAAAACCCTTTTATATTTGTTGGAAACTCTGCATCTCAAACTGTGCCCATTTATAAAAATTCTATTAAAGAATTTCCATACTATTAAACCATAATACATTAGCAGATCATAAAACTCCATAATTCTCTTTAAGATCCTTACCTACCTTGTTATTTAAATAAAAAATGAGGACAAATGGAACAAGTGCCATAGCACCCTGATGGTTGTTAGGAAGGAATACATCCATAGCTTCATTTCTTTGCCCTCTTTAATAAACAGAGATGCATGAAGTTCGTGAAAGAAATTCAGTTTCTAGGCTTCTGCTACAAATAGCTTTGAGGAGTAAACCTAAATGTACAACAGATAAACAACTCATACAGCTGGGTAGGTAAGCGTAGCAAATTATTTCTAGTGATTCATGCCATCGGAATAAATTTCTAGGCCCAAGGTGGAGCTGCTACTACCCAGGGTGCCATGTCAGCAAACCAAAATCTAGATAACTTTTATGTCCCTATAAATACTTTACCTGATCAGAAACACAATGTATCCAGTTGGCCAATCCTCTAAAACCAAGCCAACTCTGGGTGCTATACTCACTTCCCTGTTCCTTGACCTTTCTAAATATGGTCGGATACGCAACCCCAACTAATGAACATAAACCAAGTACTTCTTCCTTGTTTCCTGCTTGCCTCTTTCTATAAGAGCTTGCAGCCCTGTCCCCTTAACTTTGCAGTTCTCTGGACTCTTGAGGATCAACTAAATTGTCTTATTATTTTTAATAGTACCTACAGGTAACCAGTGTTATACACCTAAACCAAGATATTTTACTATATTATAAAATACCAAAATTGAAAATGAATGTATATATATATATATTGACCCAGAAATTAACACATTTTAATTTTCTTAAATGCAAGTATGTATTTGAAATCACATCATATAAAAATTAGATTTCAAGTATTGTTATTTTTCCAATCTAACACTTCATGAAACAAAACTTTTAACATCCATCTTTTTTTTTTTTTTAAGATTTTATTTATTTGGCAGAGAGAGAGAGAGCAAGGGTGAGCACAAGCAGGGAGAGCACCAGGCAGAGAGAGAGAGAGAGAGAGAGAGAGAAAAGCAAGCTTCCCACTGAGCAGGGAGCCCAGTGCTATCTGGGGCTCGATCCCAGGAACCTGATCTGAGCCGAAGGCAGCCAGTTAACTGACTGAGCCACCCAGGTGCCCCTTTTAACATCTATCGTAAGTGGATTAAGCCACCCAGAACATGCCACTTTCATTTTGAACTGAAGGCAAGCAGGACCCAGAAGGACTCAGGAAAAGCATTTTACCTTCCCCTTAACTGTTTAAAAGAAATTAGAAAGGTGGCTTGTATCAGGAAGAGAGCTATTACCAGAGATAACTTTTTCACCTGAGAAATATGTCTGCATTTGGAAGACAACATCCATTTACCAAGCATTTCCTCCACTCACCTTCCTGTGAATCGCCCCTGCCCCTCTTCCACTTGAAGCCACAGATCTCTCTCCCTTTCCTTAGCTCAGTTGCCCAGCTGCCCTTTGAGTCTCATCTTTGGGGGGGCTCCCTACTGTACAAGGTATATATGTGTGTACATAATAAAAATGGTTTGTTTTTCTACTGTTAATCTGTCTTTAATTATAGGGTGTCTCAGCCAAGAAACTAGAAGGAGGGGAGGAAAATTATTGTCCTCCCTTGCAATCTTCATCATCATTGAGCCACAGTGAGTTGTCTGCTAGTTTCCGAGGTAAATTATTTTTATTTCCATCTTAGATGTTTGATACGTAGCACAGTTAGTATCACTACAACATAGCCATTTAATGGTTTTTTTATTATGAAATATTATTAAGCACACAGAAAAGAGAAAAATATGATAGCTGGTCACCTTTTAACATTTCCCCTCATCTGCTTCAAATCTTTTTTGATTGATTGATTGATTGATTGATTGAAATTCCTCTCTTCTTTAGAAGAAACAATATATTGTAAAGTTGAAGCCATCTTGTATATGTCCTCTGATTCCCACCCCATCTCCCCAGCTTTTCAAAGGTAAACATCATTTGGATTTTGCAATTTACATTCCCATGATGTACTTTTCTTTTGTTGTTTTTGTTTTGCAAGACATGTCCTACTCTTTTCCAAAGTTAGTCTCTAAATGTCATGTGTTCTCCCTTGCTTAATCAATTAAATGTATTTTTCCTCTTTTGTATATACCTTACATATACATATTTTGTCCCTTTCTCTGTCTACATTAAAAAAAAAGTTTTAAATTCCAATTAGTTAACATACAATGTTGTATTAGTTTCAGGTGTACAATATTGTGATTCAACACTTCCATGTAACAGCTGGTTCTCCACACAAGTACACTCCTTAATCCCCATCATCTATTTCCCCTATCCCCCCACACACTTCCCCTCCGGTAACCAACAGTTTGTTCTCCATAATTAAGAGTCGTTCCTAGGTTCATCTCTGCTTTTTTTCCATTTGCCTGTTTGTTTTGTTTCTTAAATTCCACAAATGAGTGAAATCATATGGTATTTGTCTTTCTCTGACTTATTTCACTTAGCATTAATTGTTCCAGCTCCATACATGTCTTGCAAATGGCAAGATTTCATTCTTTTTTAATGGCTGAATAATATTCCATTGTGTTTATATATATCAGATCTTCTTTATCTATTCATGTATGTTGCTTTTGAAAGTGATCTTCCATAGGCTCATTAAACAACATTCAGTGCTTATAATTTTCAATTCATATTCCAAGAAATACTTAATAAACCTGTGTTGAATTTCTTTTATTTACTTTTTAAGGATTTCTCTCAGATAATTTCTCTAAGTATTTGAAATAAATACTAAGGCTATTTCAAGCTGAGTCCTCTCCTCAATTGATACTTTCCCTTTAAAAATAAAGTAATTTAGAGAACATAAAATATTTGTAAAGACTCAAATACACCTCTTTTTCTGGGAGACAATGGTTTTGGGGAAAAAAAAACAAAACACCAAACCTTGCCTTGTAATAATACACAATTTTGTTTTATAAATACAAAAGGACCTGTGCATAATATGTATATATCTGCACATAAAGCATTAATTTTAGATCACTGAGATAGCCATAACTACTTAAAAAATGACATCATTTTAGGGGTACCTGGGTGGCTCAGTCAGTTAACCATCCAACTTTTTTTTTTTTTTAAAGATTTTATTTATTTATTTGACAGAGAGAGATCACAAGCAGATGGAGAGGCAGGCAGAGAGAGAGAGAGAGAGAGAGAGAGAGGGAAGCAGGCTCCCGGCTGAGCAGAGAGCCGGATGCGGGACTCGATCCCAGGACCCTGAGATCATGACCTGAGCCAAAGGCAGTGGCTTAACCCACTGAGCCACCCAGGTGCCCCAACCAGCCAACTCTTGATCATGAGGTCATAAGATCAAATCCTGCATTGGGCTCTACGCTGGGTGTGGAGCCTGCTTAAGATTCTCCCTCTTTCTCTGTCCCTCCTACCCCCCCCCCCCCCCCCCCCCCCCCGCTGTGCGCTTTCTCTCTCAAAGGAAAAAAAAAAAAAGACATCATTTTCTTTTTTTTTTTTTTTAAGATTTTATTTATTTATTTGACAGAGAGAGAGCGAGAGATCACAAGTAGGCAGAGAGGCAGGCAGAGAGAAGGGGAAGCAGGCTCACCGCTGAGCAGAGAGCCCGATGTGGGGCTCGATCCCAGGACCCTGAGATCATGACCTGAGCCGAAGGCAGAGGTTCAACCCACTGAGCCACCCAGGCGCCCAAGACATCATTTTCTTAATACAGGAAAAAAGAATTAAATAAAATTTTAAAACGAAACGACAAAACCAATCCCTTATCCCACAAAGAAAATCAAAAGAGACAAAAGAAAATATGGGGACTATTTAATTTAGTGGGTTCTTCTTCTTCTTCTTTTAATATTAAACATAAAATCTTAGAGTAACTTTTAAATAATAAGCAACACACATTCTGTTAAAAACATCATAAACAATAGAATTATAAAATGCCTAAATAGTGTATTAGAGTCACTTAAGAAGTAAATTGACTGGGTTGTGGACATTGGGGAGGGTATGTGCTATGGTGAGTGCTGTGAAGTGTGTAAACCTGGCGATTCACAGACCTGTACCCCTCGGGCTAATAATACATTATATGTTAATAAAAAATTTAAAAAAAACTAAAAAAGAAGTAAATTGAGAAGTGGAAGGAAAGATAAAAGGAAAATCAAGAAAAGGATAAAAGAAAAAATTGGGTAGAGAGATATAAAAATAAATCAGGGGGAGAAATCAGACATCTTGCCACTACAAATAGAGGAAAATGGCAGAAAACACACATACAAAAAAATAACACGGATAATATGGAGATATACAGAGTAGTGCTGAGAAAATCCATGGGAAAGGCATATACATAAAAAAAGCTCACCTGTTGGCACCGGTGATGCCGTACTCCCTAGCTTTCCTCTTATTTCTCCGGCCATTCCTTCTTAAGTCTTTGCTGGCTCCTGCTTTGTCTAACCACTAAATATTGGCATGCCCAAGGATGGCCCTAAGCCCTATTCTCTGTTCTGGCTACATTCTTTATTTAGGAGATGTCATACATGCCCATGGTCCATGGCATTAAATAATGACAGTTCTCCCAAAGTCTTTCAATTCTGACCTCTTTCTGAGCTCTAGCCTCATAGAGCCAACTAGGTATTTCTTTCCAATATCTGCTAGGAACCTCAAATTTTAAAGTCCAAAGCATAACACGATTAGTATGTTTATAGGCTCAGTCTACCGTTGTTTTCCTTTCTCACGCTCAATGCTGAAAATTCCCCTTCTCCTTCGACTGCCCACATCTAATTCATTACCAAAGCCTGATGTTTCTTAAGAATGAATCGCAAGGAGCGCTTGGGTCGCTCAGTGGATTAAAGCCTCTGCCTTCAGTTTGGGTCATGATCCCAGGGTCCTGGGATTGAGCCCCGCATCAGGCTCTCTGCTTGGTGCAACAGAC